ATCTAATGAAAAACGGACTGGTACCTGACCGGCTCCTTTCACGTTAAACGGAACGAATATCTCCGAATGCTCTAGCTATGTGTATCTAGGTCGGGAAGTCAACATGATGAACGACCTAGCTCCAGAGCTGTGCAGAAGGAAACGCGCCGCGTGGGGAGCATTTAAGAATATCGAGGGAGTAGTGAAGAAGACAAAGAACATCCGGCTCCGCGTTCACCTTTTCGACACTGCTGTCCTTCCTGCTTTGACGTACGCCTCGGAGACCTGGACTCTACGAAAGCAGGATGAGCATGCTGTCAGCGTTACTCAACGCGCTTTGGAAAGGACGATGCTCGGAATTACCCTATACACGCAAGTGCAGAAGGGAATCCGGAGTTCCGAGCTCCGTCACCGAACGAAGATCAGGGATGCCGTTGATTACGCCAAGAAATCGAAGATCAGGTCGGCCGGACACGTTATGCGATATAGTGATGACCGTTGGACCAGGGCGGTTACTGACTGGATCCCTCGGAACATCAAACGAACTCCAGGAAGGCCGCCAACGAGATGGTCAGACTTCTTCACGAAAGCTCTGAACGAAAGGAATGTTGAACCTCGTGTCCCTGAAGCGAGAACGATTCACTGGACCACTCTGGCTCGTGACAGGGACGAATGGAGACGTTACTGGCGCCCGCTCGAGGAAATCGATGATCAAAGGGACGACAGGTGATACAGGTGAAGCTATGACTACAGTCTAAATATCTGGGTGGTAGAATTGAATGACGAGTAGTTCCGATTTCTCGCTTGAAAAGCTTGTTTGCAGTTGAATTCAGAGAAAGTAATGCTTATGAAGAAACCTTAATATCTAAAATCTGCAATTTCCCATGTTTGTTTTGGGAATCAAAGTGTAGATTGACACAGCCTTAGCTCAAGCAAGAATATGAGGAAGTTCGAATTCGGTGTGCATTAACGTAGCGCAAACGGCCTTTAATCTTATCGCTTGGCTGTCGAAACTATATCAGAACGACTGACAAGTAGTGATCAGAAATCATGCACCGGAACGGCGTGTCGCGCTCGGTGGTGCACTACGAACAGGCTATCCTGCCACATATAATTCGCTAAGTGTGTCTGTTGGTTTGCCGATGTGTTTGTTTGCGTTTGTGTGGCGGCGTGCGTGTTTGACCGAAAATTCATAATTCCTGTTCGTGTGGACCTGGAGCGTTCAAAGTTGGTAGGAGTACAGAAGGCAGGATGGGAACGGATATGGCAGGTGACAAGACCGGACTCCGCTTTTAAGGGACAGAACGTGCGCGAAATGGTTGAGCGGGGATTTATAACTCCCGCCCAATGGATCTAAAGAGTCCAAATTTGGTAAGATTAGAGCTTCTCGTATTATCGATGGAAACTCGGCACTTTAATGCGTGGTGACGGGATCGAAGTACACGGTAATAGGAGGCGATGACCAACGATAAGTGAAGGGACCTAAGAGAGCAAGAGCCACCTACCTATCAGAATTCTAATGCCTTCGGTATTTACGATGCAGCCTTGACTGTTCAGTATGTTTCATTCGATAATACAGGATGGTAGGGTAGGGCGACAAGAGCGAGTGGTAAGTACAGCGATACGACCCATTAGCGGTACTACGATAAGCATATGAGACTTTTCTTGCTATTAGATTACGGCCGCTACCCAGCACGGTTTCTGACTCAATGTAGAATCCCTTTGTTCGATACCATTTGTGACGAAACTTAACCAACCGTCAGCTTTCTGAAATTTTCAACTAATATCTCTGTAAAAAAAATGGTCCACTGATAACATCTCATAATGATGTTATCATCTTTCTTAACATTTGTGAGTACCGTCCAAGGCTCTGTTAAGCGTAGTCTTACACTGAATACAATTTGCACTGCTCTGTAATCCTGTGTCAAACTTTGTGAGTGGGAAAATAGATTAGTTTCAAAGAGGTAGTGGGGAATTCGCCGTTCACTACAACTCTGCCATTCAAAGAAGAAGTGGAGAAGTGGCCGATTACTGCAACTTTGCCGAGGAAGGAGGGAAGCCCGGCGCTAGCTGGGAGAACCGAGTGGTATGATAATACATAGTTCTCGTGTTGAAGTATGTCTTCGTATCATTATACTAGTAATCTACGCGAATAGAATTACTTTGATTGGGCTTAGCACGAGAAGTCAGTCGGATATTGTATTGATATTCAGACTGGCACGATTCGATGGTTTGAAAGCTTTCGAGAAGCCTTCAAGGGATTCTTCCTCTGTCTAGTTTGTGATGGAGACATTGCCTCGAAGTTTTTCGGGATGATCTATTTCAACAATCTTAATGACTCTGCTTTCATCACAATCACAAACATCCTATCCACCCCACCCCCTTTCACAAAAACGCTCTACCTTTTTTCTAAGCAATCTACCAGAACTCCCACTTGGGGCTACTACCAAACGATAAGAGACAAGACGTCAATGCTGCTGAAAAGCTGCTGCCGAGAAGCCGGCTAGCGATCCGATAGTAAGGGAGGTGCGCGAATTTTAGTGTTTATTTACGGTTATAATAACCCTATGCCCTTACCGCTGGGGAAGCCTTCACAGGAGATGGTTGTAGTGCTGGTGGCGACGTCGCATGCTGAGCCATCTTGTCTTCGCTTTTTGTCGGATTTGTCGTCTTATTACGATCTTCTCTTGTGGTGGATACAGAAGGATTTTTCCCTGTACCCAGTTGCTGGCTGGTCATATGCATCTGCGATCGGTCACAACCTTTTCTTAAGATCGTCAACTTTGTATAGTTCAATGAAGAGGATAACTCACTTCATCGGTCTCCACTTGAGCTCCCTCCACGATGAGTTGTTGTAAAGTTAAAAGGCGGCTGGAAAAGAGTGAGTATATCGTTCTCAGTAACTGACCGACCGCTTTTATAGTGTTCCTTATCGCTGCCATAGCTTTTCTATATCACTAAAACGAAAATTAAGTCCGGCACTCGGCTCATCCCACCACACACCCCCACGTCCTTGCCTAAAGCCCCTTTTCGACGCGTCGTATATGTGACAGGTAAAAATTTGCGTTTTAGCACGTGCCGAATTACTGTTAAAGCCGAGTGCCGTACTGAATTTTCGTTCCTGTTCCTATATCAATCTTCGCTACTCGTCGATAGTCCACACTACCTCATAAATACTGTGTAGAGCAACAACGAACTGTTCCGTATTTGTGTGTATGTGTGTATGTGTGTATGTGTGTGTATGTATGTATGTATG